CCCAGGAAGGTGGGTGTCGCCGCCCGGACCCCGCAGCCTCCCGACCCGGACGGCGGGACGGCGGGCACTCACCTCGCGGACCGCGGCGGACACGGAGCGCACCGGCAGCCCCACAAGCGCAGAGACCCACGGAGGAGGCGGGAGGCCATGGCTGGGACGGCGAAGAATGACTGGGGCGAAGGACGCGGCGAGCTGGCGGCCCGGGGTGGGGCTGGGGGGTGGGGAGGACTGTCCGCGGCCCGTCCCACTGAGCCGCGGGGATCGGGACGGCCCGTCCCTCTGAGCCGCACCGGGATCGGGGACCGACGCGTCCCGGCGTCCTTCCTTCCGTGTCCGGAGGCTGCAGCCGGGATCCCCAGGCCCCGTGGGCGGAGTTTGCGAGGTTGCAACAGGCGTTAAAAGCAAACCGGTTTCTTTTCCCCTCCGCAGCGTTCTTATTTCTTCTGGGCAGTTGTTCTTTTTGGAATTCTTGAACCGCTTTGAGACACGCGTGCAGCCAGACCCACACACAAACCCACAAAAGTTGCGTTTTGTTTTTGTCAACATAGAAAATTGCTTTACTCTCACAGACAACTATGCACAACTAGTTTAAAAGAATTGGGCCGTTATCATTTTTTTTTTCTGGCAAAAATTAGTAACCACTTCCTCGGAAAAAAAATTAAAATATGCTCAATATGCAAATAAACCTCTTTAGTTCCTTTCTCCAATAGTATTTGATTGGCATTCATGTCTTGCCATTTTCTCTTTCCTCAAGTTATCCAATACTGTTGGATAATCGACATTTACATTGAATAAAGTTTGAGCAACTGACATTTATGGGGTTGGTTTTTTGATACTAGCACATCTCTGAACTTTAAAAAGTTTGCAGAGTGGATTTAAAGACTGTCAGGCCATTGTAATAATTAAGGACAATTATCAAGAGCCTGAAAGGGTGCAAGCGAAAAACAGAATTTGTGTTAGAAATTAAGAACTAGCCCTGGCCGGCTTGGCTCAGTGGATAGAGCGTCCAGGAGGCAGCAGATCAATGATTCTCTCTCATCATTGATGTTTCTATTTCTCTCTCCTTCTCCCTTCCTCTCTGAAACCAATAAAGAAATATATTAATAAAAAAAAAGAACTAACAACTAACCAAATGCAGGATATAAACAAGTGAAAAAAAGAGTAAGATTCATTTCAAACAGTAGCATGTGATTATTGGTTGACAGGGGCTGCTCACGGCCCCCCAGGCAGGCTTGCTAGAATTCTGGACCTGCTGGCCGGAGGTCCTAATAGCTCCACCACTAGGAATGTACGCCAGGGTATCTACTGGCTTCTTGGGACCAGTGGGGATAATAAAATACTACTTTGTTGTGCCTCTGTGTGATCTGAGAATCCCTACAGCAGCTGCTCTTGTTGAATGAGAATAACTGATGATGCGGTCCAGGATTCTGTATAGTAAACATGTCTCACAGGTGATTTTTTTTTTTTTTGCAGGCCTAATGCATTCAGTTTATTTTTCTTGTATAAAAACACGTGGTGGCCGGGTCCTCTGCATGGAGACGCTCCCATGGAGCCTGACTAGAAGGTCAGTGAATGCCTGACATGGAAACTTGGTCTCTATAGAGGTGTGTGAGTGACATAGATGCAGATCTTGGAAATGGCATCAAAGGTAGCCTTGGCAAAGTTGCCCAAGGTGGCAGTGCAGCCTCCTTCATACCAGCCATCCTCGCCAGCTTATTGGGCCAAGGGGTCCAGATGATGACTAACGTGCCTGTGGGGGTAGGAATGAGGTGCACCAGCACAGAGATGCAATGGCCGGTCACCTTGCCAGGGATGGCATGGGGTGTGTGAATCTTGATCTCCAGGAGCCTTGCCACCCAGCATCTATGGAGGGGAGTTATCATGGCCCCACACGGTGGTTACTATCTCTTCGGAGCACTTAACACCTAGACTGATATGGCCCTTATAGTTCCTGAGGGCAACAGTTGCCTTGAACTTGTCCCAGTGGCCAGCTCAGGTCTGCTTTTGCATGGGCCTAATCTTTTAAGATTTTGTCCCAATTGCCACTTGTATGTAATTTTTTCAGTATCATTTGAGAATAAGTTGGATACATCATACCCCTTCACCCCTAGTGTATGTTCCCAGCAACAAAGGAGTTCTCTTAATAACCATAGCACAGTTATCATGTGTAGGTATTTAACTCTGATACAATATCCTTAAGTAATCTACAGCTCGTATTCCTATTTCGACAAATGTCCCAACGATACCCTTTTGTTATAATGAATTCAGTTAAAATAAAAAACAGAGACCAGCCTTGAAAAGTCCCTAGGAAGACAAAACCAGTTTAGTCATGCGAAGCTTAATTTAATCTAACAAAGCTTAAACTAACTTGAAAATCAGATGCAAAACGTGAACTATTTCCCAAGGTTGATGTGAAGTAACCACCGACCAATTCCCTATTATTTTTGAAAATGCTGATATTATAACTGTGAAGAAGAAGCAGTCACCATTTCCTCACCATGTAAGCTGCTTTAGAACAGTATTTCCCTGAATCTCGTTCCATGTTATGATGTGAGTGCGTCCGGTTCTGAGAACGGTCATTTTGGTGTGTGTGCAATAAACTTATACTGATTACTACTTGGGTGATTCATTGGTTTTACTCTGGCTATTTCTTTTTTTTTTCCCCCCAGCGATAACACTTTATTGAGGCATCAAGCAATATACTGAAAGAGGTGAGTCATGCGCAAGTAATGTCCTTATTTCCATAATTGCACATTTGATACTCTCTGCCCTCTTCAAGAGGGTGGGAAGTAAGCAAAGATGAGAACCACATAGCTTTTATACAAAACCATATCTATGTAAGTGCTTGAGAAAGTCCGCTTTTAATTTAGTTTTTCCTTCTTTAAAAGGCATGTTGGTTTTATTTCGGAAAACTAAAATAAGCTAGTTCTGCCACTGAGGATAAAGTTTCTCCCCAGACTTACTTATGAAATAATGCAGCTGCCTTTTTCTTTAAAGGGATTCTTGTCTCCTGGAATGCCTTTCACGAGAGGGTCCTCTCCAGAACGTTCTTCAATGTAGTTTTTTATTTCTTCAGAACATTTAGACACCTGTTGTCTCTGAAACTTTACTTCTTTGCAAAGTTGCTCCACTTCCATCTTCAGCTTTTCCTTTTCTGGCAAATCTTCAATGTGCAGGGCCGGCATCTTCGCCCCAGAGCTGGGCCCAGGGACAGCTCTCTACTCTGGCTATTTCTGAACTCTTGACAAGTGCAACTCTGGCATGGTTCCTCCGATTTTCTTTTTCATTCGTGTCACTGACATTTTTGGAAGAGTAAACGCCAGGCATTTTTTTAAAAAATATATACTTTATTGATTTTACAGAGAGGAAGGGAGATAGAGAGTTAGAAACATCGATGAGAGAGAAACATCAATCAGCTGCCCCCTGCACACCTCCCACTGGGGATGTGCCCACAACCAAGATACATGCCCCTGACTGGAATCGAACCTGGGACCTTTCAGTCTGCACGCCGTCACTCTATCCACTGAGCCAAACCGGTCAGGGCAAATGCCAGGTATTTTGAAGAAATGTTTGGTTGTCTTGGGGTTTCCTCATGCAGAATTGGTGCATAAGTAGCATGGCATCCCCCTCAGTACAATGCATTAGAATGTCCCTGAGGTTAGTTTGTCCCGTTCTTGGTGAGGTTAATTTGAACCTCCTTAATTTTAAGCCCTTAATTTGGTTAAAATAGTACCCACCAGGTGGCTTCACTGTAGAGTTACTGTGTGTCGATTTGTGAAATAAGAACAAATATGCTTCTGAATGCAGAGTGAGCTAAAATGAAATGAAAGGTGTAGCAAACTACGCAGATAGTTTAGGCAACTCACCCAGTGTTTCATGAACGCTTTGAGCCATTTATATCTTTCTGGCAGCTTTTACATGGGAGTTCTACAAGGCGTGCTTGTATTAACTGAAGTGTCAGTTAGGGGCCAGAGTAATTGGGAATGTTCCAGTTAGTACATGCTATCTTTAGGCACTGACAGAAGGGAAAGAAAGATAAGGACACTAGAGGAGGGCGGAACAAAATTATGAAAGGGTTATAAGAGAGGAAGGAGGGAAGGAAGGAAGGAAGGAAGGAGAGAAGGAAGGAAGGAAGGAAGGAAGGAAGGAAGGAAGGAAGGAAGGAAGGTAAAGAAACCAGTCTAACTGAAGGATATGTGCTGGGAAGAAGTAGGAACTCAGGTTCACCATCAGGAATTCAGATTTATACATGAAATTACCTGGGTTTGACTCCTGTCTGCTCCCTGCTATCAGTTGCCATTGTTGGGATTAAGTGGGCTGGTGCTTATAAAGGGCATGGCACAGAGGTTTGCTGCACTGTCATTATTCAGGCTCGCCAGCCGTGAGCCCGGCTTCTGGCTGAGCGGCGCTCCCTCTGTGGGAGTGCACTGACCACCAGGGGGCAGCTCCTGCGTTGAGCGTCTGCCCCCTGGTGGTTAGTGCGCATCATAGCTACCGGTCGCTCTGCCGTTCAATTTGCATATTAGGGTTTTATTATATAAGATTGTTGGCCAGTATGTTTATTATTATTGAATATCACACCAGGGAATTTAGGTTTGATGTGTAAGGAGCTAAGAGTCCCCATTTATTCTCTTCCTAGAGGCCTGATGCACAAAATTTGTGCAAGGGGCTCGGCCCTCGCAGCCCCAGCTTCATCTGGAAGGACATCGGTCTCATTAGCATACTATGCTTTTATTACTATAGATTCAGTAAGTATTTGTTGAGTTCCTCCTTATATTAAGGACAGATGCTGTACAAGATAAAAACCCTGCTTTCAAAGACTTTGAAATACAGTCATGAAAATAAGACAATGAGATGATGTAAAATATAAAACCCCACGATAAATGTGGGAGTAAGCCAACAGTCCAGAGTAGGGAGCTGACACTGTGGGGGGCTTACTTGATTTGCTTCTTTTCTCACTTTATTCTCATGGAATAGCAGAAAGCACATGGGCTATAGCCTTCCACTGACCAAGATGAAGGTTGAAAACCTCTGCTTGCGGTAATGAATGTCTCTACGCCTCTGTTTTCTTATCTGTAAGTTAGAGATATTAATAGTATCAACCTCCCAGTGTTGTGAGACTGAAGGAAGGCAAAATATGCAAAGCATTCAGTCTGCAGCCATAAGAATGAAGCACATAGTAACATCGTTACTGCTTTACCTGGCTTACTTCTCAGGAGCAGCCATCCTCTTCCCACGTTGCCAGGGAAACCCACAGACCCTGAGCCTTCCTTCTGGATCAGTGACATTTTGGGTAGCCAAAGCCTCCTACCATTCAACTGCCTCTCTTTCAAAAGGGAATTTTCAGATCATAGGGCCTGGGTTGGGGCTGGGGTTTGGGCATGTTGAGTGGGTGAGGAAGACTTCCTATCTCAGGGGGAACACGCGTGAACAGACAGCTCACCCTTGCGAAAATCAAAGCCCAGGCCTTCCTGGCTGCAGGGGCTTTAGGGTTGTGAAGTTGAGGAGGAAGGGAAGAAAATGCAAAGGGCTTTGGTGCCCATCACTGGCACAGAACGAGAAGGGCAGATAAAGAACCAGTGCTGGAAGCTTGCTGCTGTGATGCAAGTGGCATCCCAGGGCAGATTTCGTTACCAGGGCTCCTGGAGGAGCAACAGGAACAAAGTGTGCAGAATCCAGCAGAGGCAGCCCGTCTGCCAGCCATGCAACGCTGTGCCAGCCCTTGGGGTCCTGGCTGGTTGCCTGAGGTGTATAGGCCGGCTTGTCCCAGCTACAGGCTATGTGGCATCTACAGACTAAGGATGAATGTTGCTCCAGCTACTAGGCCTAGTTGAAAGGATCCAAGGGATTTACTTTGATTACTCAGAAGGTGATAGTGGTTTTTTCTTTTTTTAAAGTTACCCAGAGGGAGATAGACACTAAAAAAAATGTTTGCATTATGAATTTTCACCCAGCTCTTCTTGTTGAAATACAGGTTATCTATGCTATGGTACGTCTCCCTTGCTGCCAGTGGAAATTCTAGCATAATGTTACCTTCCTAGGAGGGAAAGCGTTGAGCAATAATGTCTTGCTTTCTCAATTTAAAGGTATTTGCCTTCTGGGATATTTACCAAAGTAACTTCATGATCTATAAATTAAGCCATACATTTGAAGGTAATTTCATCTAAAGGTTCACTCAAATAAGATATATAGATTCCTTGATCTGCTCCAAAGATGTATAACCTTGCTTTAGAGATTACCTTTGTCCTGGTGCACTATTGCAAAATTAGAGCTATACTAAAAATATCCCCAGAGGTGAATAGTTGAATTCCAGTGGGGGAAAAAAATAAAAGGTTTTTTTTTCCTTTTCTAGTATTTTTGAACTTTCTTCCTACTACAGAGGACAATTTGATCACAGAGGAACGTTGTTTATAAATAATATACTTATGTTGCTGACAATTAAAGTCCCTTAAAAATACAATAGCAGCAAAGATTGGCTCTCCTTCTAAAATTAGCATTGTTTGGAGATTCTAAACATGGTCTCTTATATTAGGATTTATGAAACTTGGAACTAATTGCTTGTGCTTTGAATAGGTACTCTATTCAAAGGAAACGTTGTGAATGATTTTTAACCTATTTGGCCATGTACAACCCTTAAGGTTCTTTTTCTCATATAACAAGGAACTGTGGAAAAGTTCAGGATGGGCGAAGGTTCTCCATTTCCACACATTTTGATGGCAGGTTATAATACAAGCAAGTCTCTGGCCAAATTCTACCACTTAGACATACATTTATTAAACATGTATTTGCAAACAAGCACAAACAACTCATACCACAAGACAAAAACCCCAGCTCTTTGTCCTCTTGAGTGCTTTAGTGACCTTTACATAAAAGTCTGCTTGGAGCTGACTCAAAAATATTCCAGAGGCATAGCTGACATCACAAATCCAATGATGGACATAGGACCATTTGAGGGCCGAGCCCACATGGGATGTGAATTAGTCCTTGGTCCAAAGTATCCTTGCTGAATAAGCCATCTGCCTGTTAGTCACTTTGTAGTGATTTCACTGATTAGCTTGACTGTCACATTATCTCATTGCTTGTGTTCAAGTAACCCTTATTTTACTTAATAGTGGCCACTGAGCACAAGGGCAGTGATGCTAGCAATTCAGATATGCCAAAGAGAAGTTGAAAAGTGCTTTCTTTAAGTTCAGCGTATTCATAGGGTTTGGTATTGTCTGTGTTTTCAGGCATTCACTAGGGATCTTGGATTGTATTCCCCATAGGTAAAGGCGTGCAACTCTATCTTTGACTTGTGGCCTCTAGGGTTGTCAAGAAAAGGAAGAGAGTGAGCAGAAAATCTAAAGGGAGACGACTTTAGGGCCAGGCCTTGAAGTAACCTATATTCTTTTGACTAATGTGCCATGGGTTATAACTAGTCACATGACCCTATGTGGCCTCACTGGGCTCCATCCAGATTGAGGAGGCTAAAAAATATTTGTACTCAGGAGGAAAAAGAAAGGGTTGGTGACCATACAGCCCTGCAGCATATATGCCATCTCCACCTAGTAAAATCCTCCCAATAGATGTGATTTTCCGTATTCTCATTTAAAATTTTTGATTTGTTGAATGAATTTTCTGTGTTTACCTTATTCTCCTTTTAGGTTGACTCGGTCAGTTAGGAACATGTGTAAGTACACATTTATTGAATTCCACAGCCTCAAAGGTGATCATGACCTGCTCCCTGCCCACAGAGCTCACTGTCTGGGGAGAGACATAGATGTAAAAGGCACAGTTATAAAGGTATTTACATTTCTCCGCCCCCATTTTCCTTTTGTACACACACCGTTGGTTTTGAGGAGTGGATTCTCAATATATATACTGTTTCTGTTTCTGTATTTACTATATCAGACTTCAACCTGAAGTAGCTGATGGCTTTTCATTTTGTGGATCATCTCTACCTGGAAGGTAGAGAGAAGAGCAGGTGCAAAGTCGGAGGGAAAGCCTGGTGGGAGAACAACCTGAAAGTTTGGGGTGAATAGAATGTAATGTAGAGAGTGAGTGGGAGAGTAGTGAGAAATGGAGGGAGGGTATTGCAGTGTGGGATCAGGCCATTGGAGCCCAGGATAAGAAGGTAGGATTTCATTTTAGAACAATTTAAAAAAAAACCCACAGAGGGGTTTGAAGCAGGGCAGTGGATGGATTACTTACATTTGTGGATTGGTGAGTGGGTCTATGGAGCC